AAACAACCAACTTTAAACAAGAACATTAGTCTCATACGCCACCAGTCATTCAAAGAACCAAAGAAAAACTAAGAAAATAGGTAATATAGACAGAGTACAAAAATGTACCGCCATTAAAAACAAAGTTAAGAAATGGACCTTTATATTGATGAATAAAGCTGAAAATTTGTAACTCAATTGGAATAACAAAGCAACAATCATTGGACTGCAATGCCGAAATTGCGAACCGAAACCTCGAATCGGCATCGGAAAACTCGAAACCCAAACGCGACCTCAATCAAACTCCATGAACCGAGATCAAAATAGAGGCAAATATTTTTTGTGTAGTTTCGCTTGAAATAATATCAAAAGAGGGAGAAGCGAGAGGAGTTGAGCGAGAATATTGATTAAACCGATGCAGAGATGAGAGTCGATTCCAAAACCATCTTTCTGTTATCTTTTATCGTTTCCTCTTTGTTCTTTTTTTTTTTAAAAAAAAAACCTTTGTTCCAAAGAAACTCCTTTTTGTCCGTTCCTCCAACTCATTCAACACATTTTGGCCTTTTATCAAATGATATGAGACCAATTCTTTTTCAGCAACAACATTCCAAATCTTTGCGTCCGTTTTCTTTTCTGTTTTGTCTGTGTGTCGGTAGTGTGTTGTTGGTTTTTTTAGAATGGGAGGGTGATGGCAGAAGTTTTTTTTCTTGGAAGGGAGAGGGTGGTTCGCCGTTCTTAGCCTAGGAATTTAGGTTTTTTTTATTATAAAAGGGTTGTGGGTTAGGGAATGGGTAAATGGGCTGAAGGGAGGAGTGGACTGTCAGAAATTGGGCTCAAGTTTGGGCCAAATTTGCCTTTAAAGGTGGCCCTTTAACTCTACAAAGCTAAAATATTAATTTCTTTTCCTAAAAGATCATACCATAAAAATGTAAAATCAATCCTAATTAATTAAAATATCTATATTATGACATGAAACTATTTTTGTATTTTCAAACATATGTTTAAAAATTAAAACTAAAAGTTGACTGAAATCCTATTAAAAATAAAAATAAACAATTTTTTTGAAATATTCCTTTTAAAAGTTACGCGGGTCAAAAATTACATGCTTACAGTGGCCATAAGAGTTGCAACTGAAAATATAAAGATTATTTGTGGCCATAAGAGTTGCAACTGGTCGCCGCTGAAAGGTCGAATAACTCGCCGGTAGAACAATCGACCTACCTAAATGGAATTTTTTTGGTCGCGTAACTGTTCTCTTTTGCAGCAACCTTAGCCGCCAGTAAATTCAGTATTTATTCATACAATTTGTAGGCAATTAAAATTAATAAAGTTATGCAAGCAATATCTACATTATAGAGTTGGCATATATAATTGTGGAGTTCGTATAAAAAGTTGTGAAATTCTTTGTACTCCATTTGCTCGCAGCAACAGCTCTTCACTTGATCATACAACCCCTTTAAACACATATTCATTCTTATTTTTTTAAACGCACACAGAAACAGATCTAGCATACAAGTAGTGGGTGCACGTGCATACAATTTGAATGCACGTACGCGTCAAGTACTAATTAAGGGCACTTGCGTCTATTGTCATGAGTAGTCATAGTAGAATAGCATGAACAGACATTCTCATTTCCAGACGTTCCTGGCGGCACGCAGTTGCAACGGGCACAACATGTCCCACATGCCCTCTTGCACATTTTCTGTCTAGATGCTAACTTGCACCTCCTCGTACATTCTTTTCCACAATCTGTTCAACAAACAATCATCACTAATATTAGTACTAGCAACTACTTATTACCTTAGGTTTAGCCTAAAACCAAATTAATATTGGAAAACTATATAGGTTCCTCGGACTCTTTAAAAATATCGTTGTCGGGTGCGTGTCGAATCCTCTAAAAGTGGTGCTTTGAGGATCTGACACGGATGCATGCAGCAGCATTTTTCGAAAGTCGGAGCCAGTGGCAGAGGCAGGATTTTCGCTAACGGATTCAAAAAAGAAAAAAGTTAAAAAAGATTATAGCTATTGGGAATTGAAGGTTTTGAACCCCCTTGACCAATAAGCTATGCTTTTAATCTGTGTTAAGGGGATTTAAAATATAATATATAGAGGTAAAAAAATAGATTTTGCCTTATATATACAGTGTAATTTCCCGGCGACCCCCCTAAATCTGCCCCTGGTCGGAGCAACATAGCTAGAAAATAACAACATCAACAACAAACCAAGTATAATCCCACAAGTGGCTTGGGGTCTAGGGGCGATAGTGTGTACGCAAACTCAGGGGCGTATGTATAAGCAAAACTATGGGACACGTGAACCCATGCTCTATCCGTAAAATTAGATATTTCATTTATATATTTTCTAAAATTAATATAATATTAACTGTTTTCCCAGATATCCCAGTAAGGAGGTGTGAGCAGCCGGTTGTGGAGGGCACGAGAAGAGGTAGAGGGCGGCCGAAGAAGTATTGGGGAGAGGTGATCAGGCAAGACATGGTGAGGCTTCAGATTTCCTAGGACATGACACTCGATAGGAAGATGTGGAGGTCGAGTATTAGGGTTGTAGGTTAGGAGGTAGTTGAGTCTTGCCTTACTTCGTACCGTTGTGAGACTAGTCTGGTAGGGTTTTTGTCTAAGCTAGCTAGTGGCAATGTCGTGTCTTACTATTTTGCATTTCAGTGTCGGACCTATTTACTAGCTATCGTTTTTGCTTTGCATCTTTCTTCTGGATTTCATGTTGTTCCTATTTTTCCTATGATTTCTGTGGTGATACTAATATTATCTCCTTTTGTCTTTTTGTCCTCTTGAGCCGAGGGTCTTTCGGAAACAGCCTCTTTACCTCTTCGGGGTAAGGGTAAGGTCTGCGTACACACTACCCTCCCCAGACCCCACTAGTGGGATTTCACTGGGTTGTTGTTGTTTGTTGTTTGCACCCATACTCCAAGAAGGTTGAATGGTGCACTTGGTTGCAGGCTGAGTTATTTACCAAGAGGAATAGTGATCAATTCTCACTTAATATATTTTTTCCTTTTTTTTAGTAGTGTATCCATATACTAGAAATTCTAGATTCGCCTCTGCGTAAATCTTATCCCTACCTTAAAGATATAGAAGTTGTATCCGATAGACCCAGGCTCAAAGAAGGAAGACAGCAAAAAAACGATAAAATTGAAAGAATGGGATGAGATAGAAGGAAGGAGTGCATACCTATTATATGCGGACGAGCTTTGAGTGATTTTGATATTGCATCAATATTATTACTGCTGCTAACCTCATGATCTTCTGCAGCAGATAAGAGAAAAAGAATTAGAAAGATTAGTGAGGCAATAAGAGCCTTGTACTTTGAGATGCCCATGCCTTTGTAAAACTATTCAGATTGATCTCTCTTTCGTTTGAATACTTCTATGACAGAAATGATAGGAGCAAGAAGCACCATATATATGCATTTCAAAACAAAGAGCGCAAAAAATGTTATTCATTTTTCTTTTTGTTTAATTTCTTTTCTTTTTTCTTTCTTTTGGGCCATAGCTGAGGTGGGCAGGTGGTGTAAAGTTAAACTAATATTAGCCTGGTCCAAACTTGGATTATAGGACCTATGTTATCCTATGCACGGAGGTAGTCACTTTTGATATTTAGGAATTAGCCAATGCGTTTTAAATTTTAATTTTCTAGTCTAATTTAAGGAACGCAGATGTCTTCAATTGTCATGAAATTAAGATTTTAAGTTCAAAATTTCAAAAAAAATGAGTATTGGCTAATCCTTAAATAGCAGCTCTAAGAATGGTTGTTTGTGCACTTCACCCGGGAACGACCATAATCGTGGTAGACCAAATTAAATCACTTTTTTGGCTCAAGCAAATGAATATTCTATTAAAGATAAGACACTTTTTTTCGATAGAGCGATGACATAGCAAGTGATGTGTCATAAAAGAGATGTTGGAAATTTGGCCTTCCGATCATTGAGCAATTGAACACACATAATTCAATTACTTTAATGTGATACAAATAATTTTAAATTATATTGTTATAGTGAAAAAAGTTGATTGACTATATATAAAATTAACCTTCCATCATTTAGATTTCGACTTCAATGTAATTTCATCATGTATATATATTAATCTTATACTAAAAATATATACGGTCAGACCTCTTTATAACATCATTCATATATAACAACACTTCACTATAAAAGTCAAACTTTTCCGGAACCAAATTTTATGTCATGTTATAATATATATGTTCTCTATAACAGCACTTCGATATAACATCCAAAAATATTCGGAACAAATGAGACTATTGTCGAGAGGTTTGACTGTACACGAGTCCCAAATCCAGATGGACTTAATCCTGAAATCACACAACAACTATGATCCATCTTCATTTATGAAACTAGCAGCTAAGATTAATATATCGATATGTCAATGTTTTTAGTGAGTAAAAAAAAAGGTTATTGTTATAAATAGATAATCAACAGACAATACTTCTGGTGCTGCTTATAGTCATTGTCTTACTATTGTGCCAGCTTTTCTTAGCTGTGAATAATAGATTCCAACACCAAATGCAGAAAAAGCCTAATAATCTATTGCCTGCTGTTAACTTTTCCTATACATAGAAATTTTAGGCATAGCATCGTGCACTTTGGTTAAACCCATGCTTTGACGTATGGTTTGATTAAGGGTGCCTAAAAGGATAATTTAGGTATTCCATCATTGCCCAAATATTTAAAACGTTTGTAACTAATGTCTATTTCTTAAATCAAAGTTTCATCACTAATAGGTCCCCAATTCTGAGGGGACCATTTTCACTAGTATAGTAGGTTTAAGAATTTTTTATTTTTTTTTAAAATATGTGTTTTAAACTAAAAAGTCTAAAGGCCAAATACATATACAGCACATTCAACTTTGTCTCATTTTTTATTTTGTCACTCTATCTCAGGCTTGTTCCATTTTGGCCTTCCAACTCTGCTTCTTATGTTTTATTTTAACACAAAAACTGAAACCAGTGCAAAAATATATAGCGCGTGTGTATACACAAATCTGAGGTGTAATAAATATCCAATTAAATGTTGTTCATCCTTGTCAAACGGGTCAATACTAAAATACCCGGCTCGAATTTCTTGGTGTCTATGATACTTTCGGTTCAACTTGAAATCCACAAGAACAAATATCAATTCCATTATGAAAAAATAATTTTTTTTAGACATGGATTCACTTCAAACTTCAAGTTTATATGAAATAAAGAAGGAACAAACCAGGTGATAATATTTAATTGGATATTTATTACACCTCAGATTTGTATATACACACGCGCTATATTTTTTTGCACTAGTTTCAACTTTTGTGTTAAAATGAAACACAAGAAATAAAGTTGGAGGGCCAAAATGGAACAGGGTTGAGATAGAGTGCCAAAAGAGATTTTTTCATTCCTATACACTATTCGAAACCTTATTACGAAAAATATACATGTATTAGTATTTACCCGACCTAAACATATTTTAGTTACAAAATATATACAATCCACCTTAAAAGGCCCCAATCCATTATTTGTGTCTTCAATCAAGGGATTTAGTTATACCTTTTTTTCTTTTTTCTCTCCTCTTTTCCCTTTTCTCTCCGGATCTTCCGTTATACCTTTTTCTCTCCTCAAGTTGAAGCTTCATATAATTTCAATTAAACTCACAAACCTGACAAATTCAAATCCCTTCGAGTTCTTTTTGTGATGATAATTGAGAGAGATGTAGTCTATTGAATAATTGTCAGTTTTTCAGTATCTTCATGTGTTTATGAAGTTATTCCGTTATTTATTCAATGGCACTCCTACAATTTGGAAGTTTTGTGCGGTACAGTAGCTAATGGGACTTCTAAATACGTAAACATGTAAATAATAGAGATAATAGCTGGAAAAAATCCAACCATCCTTTAAATTAAGAATATTATATAAAAACGTGGTTAAAAATTTAACTACATAATACCAATCTCCAATGTGATTTAGAGTTTAAAAATTACTATTCCTAATAATTAGAAAAACTGAACTTCTTAATCTAAGGGGGTATGTGTTTGTCCTATTGAAACAACTTTAGACTTCAGAGCATTAATTTGTTGTAATTAAATCTTCTTTTAATGTAAACGGATGCGGCTTTACACTTTGGTCAGTTAAGTTATCCTTACATTTAGTAAATGCTTATATTTACTCACGCAGTTAAGAGTATGCTTATACTTAAATACAATTTGTATACAAATTTTATACAATATGTATTTTGTATATTTTGTATCTGATTTATACATATTAAAAATAAATTTCATACAGCTAATTATATATTATACAATTTATCTATAATTTATCTACAACTTATCTACAACTTTCATACATTATTTCTACCCAGTTATATACAACTACAATATCATACCACGTAAATATAATTTTTATACAAATTTATACAATATGTCTTTTGTATATTTTGTATCTGATTTATACATATTAAAAATAAATTTCATACAGCTAATTATATATTATACAATTTATCTATAATTTATCTACAACTTATCTACAACTTTCATACATTATTTCTACCCAGTTATATACAACTACAATATCATACCACGTAAATATAATTTTTATACAAATTTATACAATATGTCTTTTGTATATTTTGTATCTGATTTATACATAGTAAAAATAAATTTCATACAACTAATTATATATTATACAACTTATCTACAACTTATCTACAATTTTCATACATTATTTCTACTCAGTTATATACAACTACAATATCACACAACTTAAATATATTTTTTATACAATATTGTTCAACTTTCATACAATAGTTAAATTAAAAAATATATATATAATATAATTTTACTACAATTTTATAAGTATAATGTATGTCATGTCTTCTTCTTCTTCTTCTTCTTCTTCTTCTTCTTCTTTTTCGAGTTTCAATCTAAAATTCAGCCAAAATCAAGTCTAATCTTCACCAAAATACCCTCAAAATTGAGATATAAACTCCAAACCATATTCTCAATTGTTTGCAACAACACCAAATCCAAACAAATAATGGTTTTTGAAAATCCAAATTCGAATTCAAAGCTTCAAAACTTTTTAATGGCTGTCAATGGTGGAATTATTGCTCTCTTTTCTTTTGCTTTACATTACTGGAATTAGGGATTGAGAGACGTAGAGAGAATTCTCAATTGTTTGCAACAACACCCAATTCAAACAAATAATATTTT